TTATTTATAACCTACCCCAAAGGAGACTCAAAGCGGCTTGACATAAAAGCATTACAATGCTGGGAGGGGTATGGCAACGTGAGCCACTCTGGAAGGCCACACTATCCCCGTCCTGGACTTATTTGCATCACGTTAAACTAAGGTGAACAGTATGCAAAATCTCCAAAGGATGGAAGGGGTGAACCTTGAGTTTGGAAAACTGCCTAATAAGACACTGTGGATTCAAGGGCTACATGTTATAAATATTTTCACATAGTTTCTAAGAAAGTTGTGAATCCACGAATCCAGCACATAATGGACAAAGAAGACACAGCTGTATTGTTTGGTTGATTTTGCCCCACCCACGTAGAATGCACTGTGAAGCTGCCTTCTGTAAATTGCATCTTGCTCAATTGAGCTTCCACAGTGGTTGCTTTGTCGTAGAACAAATATTGATGTCTTTGGGTATATTAAAGACTAAAAGATTTGCAGAATACAGTACTCCTATGTGGGTGTCTCTGAGAGAACACCATGGTGGTAAAAACACTATTGCTGTGTTTCATCAATCCTAAGGAAACACTTTCCACCCATATATGCATTTTGAAAAACGGTGTGCTTCTTAGAATCACAGGTGCTTTCTACATATATAAATAAATCTTATTTCCTGTTCGTGGTACTGAAATTGGTGTCTGGAATTAATGGTGTCCTAGAACTGATGAAATGTGGTAGTTTTCCAAGGCCAAGGTGGAAAGTTTCTCCTGTTTTTCTTTCCCCCCCAATGGAAGGCACTGAATACAAAGTGATCCTGTGAGTACTGGCATTAACAGGTGATAATTATGCACACGTCTACACTGTAGAATGAATGCAGATTGGCACCACTTTACCTGCCATGGCTCAATGCTATGGAGTAATGAGTGGCTGTAGTTTGGTGAGGCACTTAAGATGTTACAGACCTTGTAAAACTACAGCTCCCTGGATTCCACAGCATTGATCCATGTGGTGTCAGACTGCATTAATTCTATGATATAGATGCACCCTAAGTTAACGTTCAATATCCTAGGAGAAAGGCCTTCATCACAGATGGCAGCAGAGTTTTCTTTTAACATTTTAGGGAATCTCTCAGAGGTATAAATATAAAGGCTGTCTGGGGGAATCTCCTTTTGACAACAGAACAGCATCTGCACTACATTCTGTTTGTGCCATATCCTATGCCTCCACAGTTGGGTAAGCATTAAGCTGTAGTTCAAAGCTAAGGATTGAAACCCTCAGAATTCAATTGGATATCCTTCTTAATAAACATAATCAGACACCATAATGCTGTCATAAGCCTTCACAGGTTTGATCTCCCTCTATGGTAGATGTAATATCTGTTACAGCAATATACATGGGAACAAAAAAGGTAATGGTAACAAAAGAGGTTTTAATAAGTTGCTGGTTTTTCTGTTCATAGCCAAATGTATACACAATATGAACAAGATAAACATTCAGAATAATAATGAGCTATTATACTGCTTTTCCAGCAATGTTATGCTAATAGCACTTAAGATGTTAAATAAGCTGAGTATAGAATGACTGACTATTGTCTGCTGTTATGAATGAGTCCCTATATTCTTTTATACAAGTGAGTTTTCTATCAAAATGCGGTAGACCATCTTTCAGTCTTTTATTTTGTCCATTTCAGTCAAATGTTTTATTTTGGTAGCCATATGTATGCATGTGTATGTATGCACGCACACACACACACAAAGCCAACAGAGTATGACATAATTCACCTGACAAAGCTTTAAAAAGCTGGTCACAATCTTAAAGGTGCCACAAAATTGTCCTTTCCCCCCTGCTTTTTGAAAGTGATGACAAAGTGCCATCTAGTGGAATATTTGCATTACTGCCTATCAGACTAGCTAAAGCTTTATTTGAATAACTTTAATAAAGTACCTAATTAGACATTTACATCTCAATTCACAAATAACTTTATCTACAGTTAGTTGAATTTAAATCTTTTCATATGCCATTCAAGATGTTGGAGGTGCTGCTGTGAACACAAACTGCACTTTTCCCTCATGTGACTTGATACATTTGTTGCCTCATTCCATGACAAGTAACTGGTCTTGTCAAATAGTTGGATATTTTGCATACCCCCAAAAGGCATTATTGCCACTTCCAAAAATCCTTCCCAGCACAACCGATGGTGAAGTATGGTGGGAAACTGTAGCTCAATATCCGAGGGAGGCACAGAACCTTCTCCATGTTAAATGTTATGTATGTTGGTTTTTGTTAAAAAGGAACTTTAATGCCAACTAAGGACTCTTCTACACAGTTACTGTAATCCAGCACCAGTTTGGCATTGCAGTTTTGAGGTGCATCTCAAAACTGTGCATTTTAAGGTGAATCTCGAGAGTTTTGGGGTTGCAATGGGATTATAAATGTCCTTTTTTTCCCTTCCAATTGAGAACTGGGTGAAGAATGGTCCCGGATTCAGTGGAGCTGTTTATATACTCCATCCCAGAGTTGCAGCAGCTACTAAGTTTAGCCTGTCCAGTTGAACTGATCCTGATTCGACGCCGCTAGACAGCCATCCTTACCTGTACTGTTGTCCCTAGAATCGCAGAGTTGGAAGAGACTTTAAGGTTCATCCAATCCAACCCCATGGCTTGCAGAAACATTCAGTCATGCCCCCCCCCCCCCAAAAAAAAAAGATGGCCATCCAGCCTTGGCTTAAAAACCTCCAGAGAATGAGACTCCACTACACTCTGGAGCAGCAGCATATTCCACTGTCAAACAGCTCTTACTCTCTGAATGTTCTTCCTAATGTTTACATGGAATCTTTTTTCAGTAGTTTGAATCCATTGTTCCGTGTCATAGTCTCCAGAGCAGCAGAAAACAAATGTTGTTTTCAGATATTTAACCATGGTTATCATGTCCCCTCTCAACCTTCTCATCTCCAAGGTAAACATGTACAGCTCCCTAAGCTGCTCAATCAAAAGACAGCCTGGCAAAATGGCACTATCTAAAAGAAAACAAAATGGTACTATCTAAAAGAAAATGTCCACCTTATGTGGCTGTGGAGTAGAACAGACAACTCTGCATTTGTATGCTTGTCCACTATGCCCTGCTTCATGTACAGAGGAAGAATTGTTGGAGGCTACAGACAATGCGGTTGCTGTTGCTTGTTTTTGGACAAAAGATATTTAGCCCTTCTATTTTATCAGCTTTATACTAATTTGTGCAATGCTTTTGATACAAAATAAATAAAAGCTGCTCCTCGTGGGGCTTGGCTTCCAAATCTTTGTTTTGGTCATCCTCCTCTGAACATTTCCCAGCTTGTCCATATCCTTCTTGAATTGTACTGCCCAGAACTGGACACAGGGTTATTCTGAGTGAGGTTTGACCAAAGCAGAATAGAGTGGGACTAGGACTTCCCTCAACCTAGACACTATGCTATTGATGCAGCCTAGGATTGTTAGGGTTTTTTTTTTTTGGATGCCACTTCACACTGTTCAGCTGGCAGTCTGCAGCAATGATGCCACACAAACAAAGAGGAGACAGAACTGCTTCCTTTTCCCGGGTTGCATTAGTGCTTGTGATGGTGTCAGCTAAGGTGCCTGGTGATGTCCAGAGCTCTCCGGAGCTCCACGGTCAACTAATGAGGTGACAGGACAACACAGCCTCAATCCCTCTGTATTTCCATGTGCCATGTGCAGTACAGGTAATAGGGGACAGCAGTGCATGGCCATGTAGACAGTGGACTGGTTCGAATTAAGAGCCCACCCAGCTGTTCCAATGTGCTTTTGATTAGGCAGTCCACCAGTAATTTCCCCTGTCCCTACCTTAAATTCAGCACTTTACGCCGACCCTTTTAGCGCCCTACCTCAACACTTTTGATGACACCATTCCCAGCCCTATCTACTTGATTGTTGCACTTTCCTTGCGCTCCCTTCAAGTTTGTACTCCACTCATGGAGCCTGAACCGCAGCTATGTTCTATGAAGAGAGAGGGGGCCAGGGGACAGTTCAGTCTTGTCTCCTGCATATGTCATCAGCTGGGGACCGTTCCCCCGAGCATCAACTGCTGCTCTGGGCCAGAGTGAAGAGAGAGGTGGCCAGGGACAGTGCCACCTTGTCTCCTGTGCTATTCTAATAATATAATATGTTGTATATACATATAATATTTATAATGTTATAATGTAATGTAATATAATATTACTAATAATATATTATAATTATATATTTATATTACATGTAATATTACTAATAATATTACAATATACTGGTATTGTACAATATAGTAATGTTTAATACTCATATTGTACTATGCTAATAATATCTTGTAAGCCGCTCTGAGTCCCCTTCGGGGTGAGAAGGGAGGCATATAAATATCGTAAATAATAAATAAATATGTTCTAGCTATGTTCTTTCTCAGCCATATTATTTTGATGTTGCTTACAATTGTGATTGCTTTTATATTTTATCTGATGCTTTTAATTGTGTTTTATTTATAATTGTTGGGCTTGTCCCTTGTAAGCCGCCCCGAGTCCCCACGGGGAGATGGTTGGTGGGGTATAAAAATAAAGTTATTATTATTAGATTATTATTCTCACTATCCCAGACTGCGTCTATGCTGATGGTGGCCCACACTGCAAGGCTGCTTTGGCTTAAACTCGAGCACTTCCCAACTTCTCCTAACACAAAGGGTTGATTTTATTCCTTGTTACCAACAGGATGTCCAGGAGAAAATGGCAGAATCATAGTATTGGAGGAGACCACAAGGGGCCATCCGTTCCCCCAGAAAAAAAAGGCATATTATTATCTTGAGCAGGCCTGGGCCAACTTGGGGCCTTCCAGGTGTTTTGGACTTTAACTCCCACCATTCCTAACAGCCTCAGACCCCTTCCTTTTCCCCCTCAGCCGCTGGAAGGGATCTGAGGCTGTTAGGAATGGTGGGAGTTAAAGTCCAAAACACCTGGAAGGCCCAAGCCTGCCCTAGAGTCCAAAACACTTGGAGGGCCCCAACTCTGGCCATACCTGGTATAGTTGAACCCATAAACACGGAAGCGGAAGTAACCTTCGCCGAGCCTCTCTGTCTTGTTCTTTGAATGGCAACCCGTGGTCGCGACGACGGCGGCTCCAAAAGCTCAAAAGGCCTTTTTTTTCTCGCGCCGCCCTCGAGCGCCACTGGCTGCGGTTGCTTAGTAACCGGGCCGAAACAGCCGTTACACGGCGCGTGGCGGTGTTGGACGCCTCGCGGGCCAATGGGAAGACAGGCGGTTAGGCATGGGCGGGGCCGCGGCGGCCAGCCGGCCAATCAGCGGCAGGCGCGGCGTGTTTTAAACATCCTCCGAGGGGGAATTGAAGCTGCGTGTTTATTGAGTGGTTGGCTTCTCTAGAAGGAAGATGCCGAGCCGCCCCGAGGACTACGACGTGCTCCTCACCATCGGCGCCGGGTCCTACGGCAGGTGCCAGAAGGTTCGGAGGAAAGCGGACGGCAAGGTGAGCGGAGTGGCAACCACCCCTGGAGGTTTCTGAGCCTGTACAGAGTGCCTCCGGCCTTCTTTTAGCTTCGGGCCTGGAGCACGTGAGGCTTTGGCCTGGTTAGCCTCGTGGCCGTGGTTTGAACGTTAGGCGGCGGGTCTGGAGGCCTGGGAAAGCTTTGGGTCACACTCTCTCAGCCTCAGAGGAACAAGGCAAAGGTCAACCCTCTTTGAGCAAACATAGCCAGGAAAACACAGTCGCCATGAAAACGTGCATTGAGAATTAAAGCAGGAAAGCCCATGTTTCCCATCCTTGGTAGCAAAAAAACCCATAATAATAATAATAATAATAATAAGGCAAAGGTTTGAGCAAATCTAGCCAGGAAAACACAGTCGCCATGAAAACATGCATTGAGAATTATAGCAGGAAAGCCCATGTTTCCTATCCTTGGTAGTAAAAAAAACCCATAATAATAATAAGGCAAAGGTTTGAGCAAATCTAGCCAGGAAAACACAGTCGCCATGAAAACATGCATTGAGAGTTATAGCAGGAAAGCCCATGTTTCCTATCCTTGGTAGTAAAAAAACCCATAATAATAATAATAAGGCAAAGGTTTGAGCAAATCTAGCCAGGAAAACACAGTCGCCATGAAAACATGCATTGAGAGTTATAGCAGGAAAGCCCATGTTTCCTATCCTTGGTAGTAAAAAAACCCATAATAATAATAATAAGGCAAAGGTTTGAGCAAATCTAGCCAGGAAAACACAGTCGCCATGAAAACATGCATTGAGAATTATAGCAGGAAAGCCCATGTTTCCTATCCTTGGTAGTAAAAAAAACCCATAATAATAATAAGGCAAAGGTTTGAGCAAATCTAGCCAGGAAAACACAGTCGCCATGAAAACATGCATTGAGAGTTATAGCAGGAAAGCCCATGTTTCCTATCCTTGGTAGTAAAAAAACCCATAATAATAATAATAATAATAATAAGGCAAAGGTTTGAGCAAATCTAGCCAGGAAAACACAGTCGCCATGAAAACATGCATTGAGAATTATAGCAGGAAAGCCCATGTTTCCTATCCTTGGTAGTAAAAAAACCCATAATAATAATAATAAGGCAAAGGTTTGAGCAAATCTAGCCAGGAAAACACAGTCGCCATGAAAACATGCATTGAGAATTATAGCAGGAAAGCCCATGTTTCCTATCCTTGGTAGTAAAAAAACCCATAATAATTATTATTATTATTTGTACCCGGCTGTATCTCCCCAAGGGACTTACATGAGGCCAAGCCCACAGCACATCAATAAACAAAAGCAATAACAAATAATTCAATACAAAAACAGTTAAAATAAAGACTCAAAAACAAAACACACAACAAGCAATAAACAATAACATACAGCATTTAAAAACCTATGGCCGGGTCAAATGTAATAATTAAAATTAAAAATATAATATAATAAAACTTTATTTGTACCCCGCTACCATCTCCCCAAGGGACTTACATGAGGCCAAGCCCACAGCACATCAATAAACAAAAGCAATAACAAATAATCAATACAAAAAGAGTTAAAATAAAGACTCAAAAACAAAATACACAACAAGCAATAAACAATAACATACAGCATTTAAAAACCTATGGCCGGGTCAAATGTAATAATTAAAATTTAAAATACTGGGCATAAACAAGGTAGGGTAAACTAGGATAGGGTTTTCAAAGAAAGATCCTAAGTCAATATTAAAGTGCATTTGAGGACATATTGCTAAGAGTTTTCTTTATTCTGGGAAGGCACACTCATAACCAGATCTAAAACTTTCCAATGAATCATAGAATCAAAGAGTTGGAAGAGACCTCATGGGCCATCCAGTCCAACCCCCTGCCAAGAAGCAGGAATATTGCATTCAAATCACCCCTGACAGATGGACATCCACCTCTGTTTAAAAGCTTCCAAAGAAGGAGCCTCCACCACACTCCGGGGCAGAGAGTTCCACTGCTGAACAGCTCTCACAGTCAGGAAGTTCTTCCTCATGTTCAGATGGAATCTCCTCTCTTGTAGTTTGAAGCCATTGTTCTGCGTCCTAGTCTCCAAGGAAGCAGAAAACAAGCTTGCTCCCTCCTCCCTATGGCTTCCTCTCACATATTTATACATGGCTATCATATCTCCTCTCAGCCTTCTCTTCTTCAGGCTAAACATGCCCAGCTCCTTAAGCCGCTCCTCATAGGGCTTGTTCTCCAGACCCTTTATCATTTTAGTCACCCTCCTCTGGACACATCCCAGCTTGTCAAATTCCAACTTGATTGTGTACTATTCCTAAAGTAACTTATTTGTGTTTGGTGAGAGGCAGTAAGGTAATGGTTTGAGTGTTGGACTCTATTGGTCTTACAGTATTACAGCTACTACTATTGAGTAATAATAATAATAAAACTTTATTTATACCCTGCTATCATCTCCCCAAGGGACCCGGTGCGGCTTACATGAGGCCAAGCCCATAGTACATCAATAACAAAAACAATCAATACAATACAATTAATTTAAATCACATAAACAATAAACAGTAACACACTAGCATTTAAAAACCTATTTTTAAGACTGGCACAAGTGTGCTGATGTATATAGGCTTTTAATTATTTTAGTTAATTTAACTTTAGTTTTAATACTACTCTGTATTTAATTGTAATATTTATATGTTTTCAGTTTTAAATTGTTCGTTTCTTTTTTTAAAAAAAACAACAACACCATAGTTGCTTTTGAGTTTCTTTTAAGAGAGAAAAAGTGGGATAACAATCATAATGAATGCTGGGTTGCTGTGAGTTTTCCGAGCTGTATGGCCACATTCCAGAACCATTATCACCTCATAGAATCATAGAGTTGGAAAAGACCTCATAGGCCATCCAGCCTCTGTTTAAAAGCCTCCAAAGAAGGAGCCTCCACCACACTCCAGGGCAGAGAGTTCCACTGCTGAACGGCTCTCACAGTCAGGAAGTTCTTCCTAATGTTCAGATGGAATCTCCTTTCCTGTAGTTTTAAGCCATTATCCTGATGTGAACGTTGTTGTTATTGCAATTTACTCTATTTGTTTCTACCCCACTTTTCTCATGATCGAGACCCAAAGTGGTCCCCGACTTAGAAACAAATACAATTTCAAACCTACAAAAATGGGAAAATGGAATTAAACATGCAAGTCAGTTAAATATCACATTTATAATTATGTTTATGTTTATTTATACCCTGCTTTTATCTCTCCTGAAGGAGATTCAAAGCGGCTTACAATTAAAAGTATGACCACAAAATTTCAACGATACAAACATTAAAACAGAATTGAGCATAACAGTATTAAAAATTCAGTCAAAATCAATTAAAACATATTCAAAGCTAAAAATCACATTGTGACCCAGAGAAGTATTGGGAGGAATGAGCTTGGCTCCAACACTGGGCAATATCTACCTTCTCCAACCACCCTGCCGAAAACACAGATAGATTTCCATCAAACTCTGTAGGGTCTCAACCAAACCTACAAACCTGAATAGGGCAGGAGCTCAGAAGCATATAACATAATTTAATCACCATACATGATTCTCTGACTTGTTCTTAAAATACGTTTTGCTTTAGCCTGACCCTAGAAGCCAGGGCTGCATCTACACTGCAGACACAGTCTATCCCCACATTAACTATTATATCTCAAATCTTTTGAACCCTTGGAGTTGTAGTTAGGTAAGGCACCAGGACTGTGTAAAACTACAGCTCCTGGAATTCCATAGCATTGAGACATGGCAGTTAAAGTGGTGTCAAACTGAATAATTTCTGTATCGGAAGTTCATTGCAGGGTTCAAAACACTGCTTGGCTCTGGAAAACCACTGGGTGACCTTGAGCAAAGTTATACATGCTCAGAGACAAAAGCCAAAACCATAAGTGGGAAATGGCTTGGAGGCACGTAATAACAACAGTCTCTAGTTCTAGTGTTCTATCACCCGCATAATCCAGTTGCTGCTTGCAGGGCCAGCGTTGTGTAAGGCCCTTCTGGCAAGAGTTTCTGGGCTGGAGACTACAAAGACATGCTGCCACTGCCCTCCGGGAATGCAAACCAGGCCAGGTGAAGCAATCACTCTCTTTTTCCTCTCACTCCTTCCTCCCCATTTCCGTTTGCTCACTGAGTCAATAAAGGTTCCCCTTTAGCCTCCCATTTGACTCGGTGCCACTCCAATGTCCTCCTAGTCTTCCAAATGATTTGGTCTTACTTTTCAGCTAGCAAGTATATTCTTAGTCTAGTTTACTATGCTTTAACTTTCATATAAACCTACAAATAAAAAGACACTCAAAGCAGCTAGCCAAGCATTTTATAAATGCAGGTATGTGTCTCTATACACACACTAATTTATTTGCTTTATTTTTATCCTACCTTTCTTCTGATATAGGGACTCAAGCCAGCTAATAGGAAACATGACATGAAAAAGAGTAAATGCATTAAAATATGAATATAAAAATTAAAAAACACATATTTTGTGTCATGGAGTATAAACATTAAAATACATTTAAAGCTACATTTGAAAACTACACAGCCCTCCTAAATACCAATTACATCATCCCCAGCAGCATACCTCTCATTCCCTAAATACCTGATGAAAGAGGTATGTTATCACCTGCCTGTGAAAGGAAAGCTGGGATGGGGTCATCCTGGTATTTGTAGGGAGCGACACACATATGCACATACATATATTTTACATGTACTACTTTGTGTGTGACTTTATTTGGGAGGGCGACATGCAAATTTCCTCATAGGTATAAGTACAGTTGGCCCTCCGATTCTGCCTCCAAGGATTCAACCATTCACTGCTTGAAAATATGCGTGCACCCCCACATATACATATATAATGCTTGGTTAAGTGCTTTGACTTTTTATTTGGGAAGACAAAATATAAATTTTCCCACAAATAAATACAGCCAGGGATTCAACCATCCTCAGCTAGAAAATATTGTTTAAAAAAATTCTAAAAAGCAAATCTTGATTTTGCTATTTTGTGTAAGGGACACAATTTTACTTCATCACTGTTTATAACAGAATTTGAGTATCCATGGATTTTGCTATCAATTGGAGGGGGGGGGCTGGATTTAAACCCCAATGGGATACCAAGGGCCCACTGCAAACAAATAAAAGAACGTGCTATCTAGGTCTTCATAGTCTAGGTATGCTTTTCACTTACATGGTGTGTGGAATAATAGTTTCTTTCGGTTCTCCTTGTATCTACAGAATTTTGGGTCTTGATCAAGGGAGAAAAAGTGGGATACAAATAGGTATAATAATAATTGAAAAATTAGTCAAGTTTTAATATGCTTTGTTCCTAACCTCTGTTTACTGAGTGTAAGGATTATCTCGGCATTGCCTTTGGGCCCCATATTGGCCTGGCATTACCTTGAAAGGGAAAAAAGAAGCTTATTGTTCAGTAATTTCAGACACAATGAGGGAAGTTAATGAGAAGTGATGGGGCAGGGTGAGTGGTTGTGTTTTAAGACACATTGGTGGTCCAAACACTGTATGACAGGGTTGTGCTCTCAATTTTTTGGACTAGCCATGCCTCACAACTTCCAGCTGTGACCATATGAACAATGTTTCTCAGAAATTCTAAATATGATCTTAGACAAAATTATTGCAGAAATCTTTAGGGGATGCAGGACAATGGGCTGAATTGATGTTTGCTTCTGTTGTTCAAACCCTAGTCCAAGGAAATGGACCATTTCAACCTGCTGGCAGACTTTTGTATTGTGGTAGTGTTTTATTATTATTATTATTATTATTATTATTATTATTATTATTTTCTATCCTGCTTTTCTCCCAGATTGGGGCTCAAAGCAGTGAACAACATGTAAACAGAAACATTACATAGCATAAAACATAATCATCAAATCACAACGTATTTAATAAAAAATATAAAACCCGCCAACACATGTAATAAATAACTAGCAAAGAAACAATTTAAACATTCAAAAGACTAAAACCCCATCTAATATCCATTATTTTAGGCCATGGGCAAAATCCATTGCTGAAGGTCAGCTATAGGTGCTCTAGCTGCAAGATTATACATTGGTTTGATCTTAATTCTGCAGCTAACTGTTAACTCTTTTAGATATAGTGACTCAAGAAGAGTTTTTTTCTTTTTTCCAGATCTTTTGCGACAGTGTCGGCACTTTAGGTAAAAAGATAGTTTCAACCAGACCTTCCATTATGAAGCTACAGACTTATGCATGTTCTTTTGTTCATTGTGGGAGAGATCTTTCATAGGAGAGAGATAACAAAGATGCCACACATGTAACCATTGTTGTGATAAAATGACACCTGAAGGTTGTAGCAACAGAGGGATGAAGTGAGGTTTGCTGCAGATGGGAGATGATGCATAGTTTCATCATTCTGAACTTAAAGAAGACACCATGCTGAATTTCTTTCATACTCGGCCAAGAACCCCTTTAACCATCTTCTTAATATACACATTGTTTAGGTGTGGTTTCTTCAATTTTTTTTAGGTCTTGGTCTGGAAGGAACTTGACTATGGATCTATGACAGAATCTGAAAAACAGATGCTCGTTTCTGAGGTGAACTTGCTCCGTGAGCTGAAACATCCAAACATAGTCCGATATTATGATCGTATAATTGACAGGACAAACACAACTCTTTATATCGTGATGGAATATTGTGAAGGTGGAGACTTGTCTACACTTATTGCAAAATCTACAAAAGAAAGGTTGTACATCTCTCTTAATTTACCTTGATGTGTGCAGATCTGCTCTTGCTTTTATAATGGCTAACATTAGTCTTCAATGCATGTTAAACCATAAAACACTAATAATTGTGGGGTTTTTTCTACAAGAAATTTACTGGGCAATGAACATTTAAATTTACATTTAAATAAACATTTAAATTTTAATAAATATTTGTATCTGAATTCTGATACAAAAATTCTGACAACATAGTAAAGTATACAGAAGCCATTCCAACTTGATTCACTGTTTTTCTTCCAAGTACACCTTGTGGGAACTTACAACATGATGCTGTCCTTGGGATGGGCAGGCCAGATTATTTTTAAATATTAGTATGGTTAATTCCAGAGAAGTGACATGCTACACTTTTAGGCCAACACTATTAGGCAGTTGCTTTAGTTTGTACACCACAAAGGTTTCTCTTCTGTGATGTCTTTCTGTTTGCTAAAAGGCTACAGAAACAGGAATTTAACCTTGCACGATTCAATATATTAAATATTGCACACAGAGAAATCTTGTCAACCTTTGAAGTGTACCTCATAGCATGTGCATACAGAAACTACGTCTAGTGGCTTTTGTTTTTACCATGTTCTCCAAGCAAGAAATGTGATTGCAAAAACCATTAATAAAAGAACCAACCTATTAGCCCGAAGGATCGATATGATGAATCGAGAGTCTTTATGCTACTAGGCTATCATAAGAACTGAAATACCTAATTTCTAATACACTGGGCAAGTTGTGTGCTACCTTAAGTCCCATATTGGGAGAAAAGGGGAAAATAGATCAAATACACCAGAATATGTAGTTTGACCATTTTGCTTATAGTAAACATTACTTTCAATTAATGATGCCATGTGAGCATTGAAGTAATGTTGATAGTTTTCTGTAACTTTCTCAGTGAGAAATCTTTGCTCTTTAGAAGAGTGGAAAGAATAGAATGATATTGTATTGCAGTTGTAATTATGCTATTATCTTTACGAGGGAAGCAATTCTCGTTTTCTGATAAGGAGTCCTAGCTGGCCCCAGGAGCCTTGGTGTTACCACTGAAGAGGGGAAGAAAACAAGAGTCTTCTGTACTACAGAGGAAATTGCTTATTTTCATCCAATTCAGCATTGCTTGCCAGAAGGCTCTGAACAGCCAGTTATGCTTGTTTTGTATGGATTATTAAGAGTGGGAGAAGCTCTTGCTGATTCTTTTCTGCTTTTATCAGTGAGACAAAATATTTTCTGACTTTGGGGTGGTTTGAGTAAGATAATAAAGAGTGGGAATCTTTCCTGTAGGTTGTCTTATCAATGTTTCCATCCAACATCCTCCCAAAACATCTGCATGTGCTGAAAGGGTGAGGAGCACGAGGTAGAATTTCAAGTAGTGGTAGTTCAGAGAAAATTAGAAGAAGGCTTTTACCAGTTCTTACTGTCTCTTTACTCCATCCCAACTGGGAGCAATCTCTATCTCTTCTCAGTTCAAGAGGCACACAGTCCCAGAGTCTGACTAAGAAGCCAAGCCAAAAAATTATACTTTAACTTTGTGTTTGTAGATTTGAGTCACATGTGATGTTACTAGATTAAGAGGGCTTGTATACTGTACCCTGTTTCTCAATCTTTGGGCCTCCAGATGTTTGGAATGTTAAGGACCTGACCATTGGCCATGTTGGCATTGAGGAGCTGAATTCCAAAATATTGGCTGCAGATGGCTAAAGGATTGTGGTCACATATCTGGAGGCTGTCAACTAGAAAAAACACATACAGTACCGGAATTTTGTAAACTGTCCAAGAGAAAGAAACTGAAAAAGGTGTTATTGTTATTTATTTTTATCCTGCTTTTCTTCCATAGGTGGGACTCAAAGGTTTTAGCCTAAAAATAACCTTCCTCTTTCAACAGGCACTACCTGGAAGAGATTTTTGTCCTCCGAGTTCTTACTCAGTTGACCTTGGCCTTGAAGGAGTGTCATAGGCGAAGTGATGGGGGTCATACTGTCCTTCATCGGGATCTAAAGCCAGCAAATATATTTCTCGATGGAAAGAGAAATGTGAAGCTTGGTGATTTTGGCCTTGCTAGGATTCTTCACCATGACACTAGTTTTGCAAAAACATTTGTTGGAACACCATACTACATGTCTCCAGTAAGTGTCAAAACAAAAAACCTGTTAACACCTATATTCTTTGAGCATTTCCATGTACTATACCTTACCTGTTATAGTTAAGCATGTTTGACTTGTAGCTGATGAACAAAACTGGAGCATACTATATTAGTTTATATTATATATAGTCTCTAGTCTTTCATGAAATCTAGTATCTAGTTTAATGTATTGTAGTCAGTGAACAAAAGTATGCCATGTCACACTGCAAGTCATTATTTCCCTGTGTTCTGAAGTGGAACGCCTTGGAAATTCTTCGGCTGGAAAACTGTCCAAAAGAAAGGTTTTTCTGTGGGGGTAGCATTGGAGAACTCACTACAGTTTCAAAGCTCTATTGTAGTAGCTACTTGTAGAATCAGGTAACTGCTACTGATGTAATTGCTTTTAGCAAGAGTGGGGGTATCCCCACCCAATATCTTCAATCTGTTCTGGGGGTTGGAGACTCTTGAAGATAGGTTTGGGATGGGAGTAGTGATTCAGGAAGAAGGAACCATCCCAAGGTTTGTTTAGCATTCTAATCAAGTAATGCCAATGTCAGATTTTGCCTAAGCTTTTTTAAAAATTGAAATACTTATAAATATTAATGGCAATGACACTTGTGTATTTGTAACTTTGAACTATCCAGTTAAACTGGTGATATTGCCATTCATGTTATGAATTGATGCATTTCCAGAAATGGAAACATGTTTTGTTTAATTGGGCCTTTAATATGGCTTAGGTCCAGGCTATTTGGCTGACCTGACTGGTATCTCCTTGTACACACCTGTTCTCTCAGTTCCATCGCCATCTCAAGCTCTGTTGGGAACAAGAGGGCCTTTTCAGTAGCTGCCACACAACTCTGGAACTCCCTGCACAGGGAAGCCAGAATGGTCCCCTCCCTGCTGTTCTTCTGGCGGCAGGCTAAAACCTTTTTATTTGAACAGGCTTTTAAAGAAGTTTTTAAAGATCAAGTCAGGAGCTGCTGTTGCCTTTACCTCTGAATATGTTTTTATGGATTTTAACTGAACTGTTTAAAATGCCATTGATATTTCATTCTGTTTTAGTGTTTGTATATTTGTAGATTTTAAATAGCATTGAAATGCTTTTAATGTAAACCAATTTGAGTCTCCTTGTGGAGAGGCAAAGTGTGGTATAAATAAACACTATTATTATTATTTATTATTATTAGTGTTCTTTTAAGCCTGGTTAGAAGATATAGTTTTAATCCTCCTCTCCTTAAGAACAACAGATTCTGGTTTTTGACTTACAAGAATGCCTTTCCTACTTGTTAATTTTGGCAAAGCCAAAGTAAATAGAGTAATAGTCCTATAATGTAATTAGTAGTAAAACTAAGCTAACACACACAAATCTTACATCAGTTTTGAAATGCTGTTTACAGCAGGTGAGATCCACTACCTGCCATAACTTAAATAAGTGAGAATTAAAACAATGATTTCAGTGTTGTTACTCTTAAGTATATGGGCCCTCTGGTGGCACAGCGGGCTAAACCACTGAGCTGCTGAACTTGCTGACTGAAAGGTTGGCAGTTCGAATCTGGGGAGTGGGATGAGCTCCTGCTGTTAGGCTCAGCTTCTGCCAACCTAGCAATTCGAAAACATGCAAATGTGGGTAGATCAGTAGGCGGGAAGGTAACGGCGCTCCGTGCAGTCATGCCAGCCACATAACCTTGGAGGTGTCTATGGACAATGCTGGCTTTTCGGCTTAGAAATGGAGATGAGCACCCCCTCCCCCGGGTTGGACATAACTAGACTTAATGTCAGGTGAAACCTTTACTCTAAATAAGTTTTATTTCAATCCTGTTGTTTAGGATGAAATATAGTATTCCAGCATACATAATTTCTCCTAGTGAATTTTCTGTGGCAGTATTTCCTCTAATCTGTATGTAGTTATTGGCATTCTAAATCTAAGGCTTGTATTCTCTTCTTAGGAACAAATAAACCGCATGTCCTACAATGAAAAATCTGACATCTGGTCTTTAGGATGTCTTCTGTATGAATTGTGTGCATTGTCGTAAGTATATAATACTGACAAAAAGCTTCTAGTAAATATTCTCAATTAGTATTAAGCTGTGTTGCATTCTAGACTTACTCTAGAAACATAGCAACTAGAACTAAGACAAGCAACAGTATGTTCTACAAATATGGCTTTCAAAAAATTGAAGCATTTTAAGCAGGTGCTAGGGTCAAGTTGAAGATGGTGTTTGTTCACACTTTCTAGGCCTCCGTTTACGGCTTTTAACCAAAAAGAGTTAGCAGAAAAGATAAGAGAAGGAAAATTCAGACGGATCCCTTATCGTTATTCAGATCAGCTGAATGAGCTCATCACAAAGATGCTGAACCTAAAGGTAAAGTGACTTCAGATTAGTCTTCGATGTGGAACAAATGAACAAATGTCAAGCAAAATCTAGATAAATGTGGGTGGAGATAGTGTACACCTGATAATGTACCTTAAATATTATGTATCATTCTGATTTCAAGGATTATTGCCGGCCTTCAGTCGAAGAAATCCTGCAGAACCCTTTGATCACTGATTTGGTGTCTGAGGAGCAAGGGAGGATCTTGGAGAGAAAGGGGCGGCGATCTGGAGAACATGATAAAGTTGAAAGGCTTTCTGGAACTCCAGCGAGCGAACTGAAACTGAAGGAGCAGCAGCTGCATGACAGGGAAAGAGCCCTAAAAGAGAGAGAGTTTAGGCTGGAACGTAAGAACCCATGTAGCAAAAACGGGTGGGTGGGTGGGGATTACAGTCCATTCTCCTGCCATACTTTATTGTGGATGGAATATATTCCTTTTGGTGGCATAAGCTTAAGGTGCCATAGCACACGTTTTCAGAATATATAAGAAGACAGAGGTTTAGGCTGTCTTACTATATATTCTGAAGGAATATATAATAGGAAAGAAGGCTTGATAAAGAATTTTTAAGTATAGGTTGAAATATCTAATATAGGTAACTAGAATTATAACATGCTAAATACTCAAAGGATGGCCAAGATTCAGTCTAGCAATTGTATACTGTACAGATACTCCAGAATCAATGCTCTGAGTTAAGTGAATTGTACCATTTTACAACCATTCATGCTACAGGTGTAATGAGTTTGCATTCTCTTGTAGGAAAAACAGTAGGTTTAAGTCCTCATCCACTGTTAAACTTGTAATTCTGCAGCCTTCTAGACAGCTTAATTGCTTGTGTAGTAGTTTAGGTCAATCAAAATACAGTTGGCTCCCAACTTCCCCTTCAGTTTTCTTTCATTTGTCTAGCTAAGTAGTCAAGCCTTTCTATCTCTCCTTATATTATCCTATTTTAGGACTAAATTATATTAAGTAGATCACAATAAAAGTTTTTAAGATAAAGCTATGCTGAAACTCATAAACAAACTTGGAATACTGTTTTCAGTAGAATGACTTGGCAAAAATGCAAAATTATATACTCACAACCTGCCAATACATAGATGTGGACAAAATGTCAGGAGAGAATGCTTCTATAACATGGCCATTCTGCCCAGAAAACTTACAACAACCCAAAATTATATACTGCTTTGTCCCGTGGGTCTAACTAATTACTGGTCAGAATGAAAACCCGCCATTAATAATTGCCTTAACCAAAGATGCTACCTGCAATCTGTTTAAAGTATGTCTCTTTTGTTCCAGAGAGAGAGCGGGAACTGTGTGTTCGAGAGAGGCTGGCAGAAGACAAACTGGCTAGGTCTGTTCTTGAAACATCTGAATTTTTTTTGTAATGCAGTCCCAACCTTTTGGCATAAAATTTTGTGGAACAAATCCTGCTTCATCAGATGCATGGGTTGTAATCCTCGGTTGCAAGTATATATCAACATGCTGTTGATCCATGTAAACAATGGATTTAAATGAATTCTTAACTCCATGTGGAGTCTTTAACACAATGTGTATCCATACCTACAACAGGATCATATGCCATGAAGTAGACTTTTATCTATGAAAACCTATGCACAATAAAATATAAGTTCTTGTGGTGTGGCAAGACTGTTTTGCTGCAACAGACTAAGAAAGGGACTCATCACAAAATATTTGGACACCATATTTGCTCTTGTTGACAATTTTTTTTCCTAAACAGGGCTGAGAACTTGATGAAGAATTACAACTTGCTCAAGGACCAGAGACTCATGCTGCCAACAACCAGCCCAGGTATGAGAAGATATAGGAGGCTCCTGCTGGACTACTGAACTAGGGATGTGGAAGCTCCTAGCCTTGTCACCATTGACCTTTTTCGTCATTATTTCTCTGGGAGACATCTATACGGCTCTAGAGTTGGGCTCATTCCTAAAAAGCAGTGGAAAGAAGAATGAGCTTTTACATGTACTACAAGTATGAGTGTTGAAATACTCATTGTAGTAGTATTTGTCTAGGTTGTAGCCTTTTGTGCAGTAATAAGGAATGGACACTTTAGGATGTGAAACCTTTTCACCTGTAGTGGTCCTCCTTTGTACATGGTGTAAATTTACTGTACATTCGGTCAGACGTTGCTAGCATCCGGTGTAAACAAAATGTTGGACAACTTAACTATTTCCCTCTGCTTTTGTTTGATTGTACGTTTTGGGCCCAGTTTAGATACTGTTGTTATCCAAGTGGGGAATGAACAGCTTCTTTATGATTTCTATGAAACCGTTCTGTTACGACTGTCCCATTCTAATACTAGGTATTTATGTATACGTTGACCTCATTCTTTTTTTACATGTTTAAATGCCAATGAATTTTTGATTTTTTTCATGAACGCTAACATTGGTCCCTAATAAAATATATTTTATTATATTTTAAATTTTAATTATATTTATTTCTAAAAGATTTAAATATGACTCAAGAACCTCTACAATGAGTTAAATGTTAATAGAGCTAGGGAATTACTGGCATGTTCCAAAACCATTCTATATATATGATTTCTTAAAAGCAAGCTGTTCAATAAAATAGAATAAGCTGCCTTGTCATAGGTCAGGTCATTGTTCTTTGTGGTCCGGTAATATTAATACAATTGACAATGACTTTCAAACCATGACTTCAGATAGTATGGATTATATCTGTGGGCCTTCTCTCAGTACAAACAGTTATGGCCATTCACAGCATAGTACTACATCAAAAGACCTTCAGGGAGTTAATTCCGTAGTTTTTAAACTAGAATGTGGTTTCTACTAAGGACATGCTTTGTTCCCTCACTGTTTTAAGGCAATATGCTTTTATATAGGCTTACAGTGCATGGTCATTGTAATGTATATAATGATATTACAGCAGCAAATAAATTGCTGCATTTGTCTAAACTCTGAAATACACAGAATGTTTTGAGATAGTGGGTATGGAGAATGTGTGGTCCTCTAGACACTTTGTGAGGGCAATTCTCATCGTCCACTACCACCTGCTAGTAATGGTAGAACTTGCAGTCTAACATCAGGGGACCTATCTAGACATGAAGAACAGATAGAGCCGTGGAAACAATAAATGTTAAATAGAGCTCTGGATGGTAAGCTGTCATGAGTTACAGTATAAAAATACAATACATAAGCTAAAATACTGAAATCGATGTAGCAAACATCTGAATGGTATATAGATAACCTCTCACATTTTGTCTCCCATATGACACTTATGGGCTATTAAAATGTTTACACTATAAAGGAGGCTTAAACATTATACTTGAAAAACACAGATGTTTAATTGTCAAGCATCTGGTGGATTTGCTAGACAACCTCAGTGAGTTCAGTTTTGAAGGTGGATATGTGAGTGGAATTGCTTTTTTGGGACAAATATGCCTAAAGATGTCCATACTTAATACAGTTTTTAAAGGCAGCCATGACAGATGTTAAACTTTTCCGCTGGAAAGTCTTTCATTGAGGAATGGTGGCTTGCTATATCAACAGTGATTTAAATTCACAACCTTCCTAGGTAAGATACATTAGATATAAGATAGAATTTAAGTAGTGTCACAACTGAATGAGCTTTAAAAATGCTCATTCCATTGTGACATCATTACTTAAACCCTATCTTATAAAGTTCCATTTCTCCTGGGTGCAGTATTGGGTGTGTTTGATTTCAACTACTCTTTTTTTTCCATTACTGTATTTTATAATGGAAAAAAAGACTGCTTGAAAGCAAACACACCCAATACTGCACTCAGGACAAATGGAACTTAATTGTGACCAATAAAGTTCTGCCTCAGGTGTTACCTGAAAATGAGACATAGCAAAGCAAACAAAGGAAGAATGAGTAGGATATAATGTAGCTCTGTGTACATGGGGAGCATAATATGGCATGTGTACAGTCCATCTGATACCAAAGATGGATAAATACATAGCCTGAGTTTGGGAAAGTTTATTTATTTATTTAGTAATTTTGTATACCGGTCTTCTCACCTCTGTCGAGGGACTCAGGCCGGTTTCCAAAAGTAATATCACAAACAATCATTAAAACATCATATTACATATTAAACTAAAACATTAAAATAGCAAAATGCAACCAAATAATTACAATGGTCAGTCGTCACAATAAAATCGTTGTTCATCATTCGTCGTCATCCATCCATATCACAGAATATTGACTCACTCGTCGAATGCCAATCACCATAGCCAGGTTTTCACCTGTTTTCTGAACGTCAAGATAGAAGGGGCAGTTCTGAAGTTACTTCCTTTGGTTCAAAATTCTCATAATCTTCCAGTTGAGCCACTAGCTGGAGAAATCTATAGAGAATTTTAATCCAAAAGATGTAACTTTTCCAAGCTCTGACTGGCAAAGCATTGCCTTTACATAATACTTTTCTTGAAGCTCCGCTTTGTCCTTCCTCTGTAAAAGTACTGTAATACTTGTTGATGGGCTTAAGTGTCCTGTTGCATCCATTTTAGGGCAATAAATAATTGATGGCAGAACATTAAATTGAAGCAAGGCTGTTCATTGCCCTTTGGTTTTAAACAAGTCTTAAATCTCAATTTAGCAACAAAAATATATTCAATAACTCATAGCTTCTTGCTGTATCTCAGTTCAGTCTGCTTTTCAGGAGTGCTATGATGATAAAAGGGGTCATGCCTGCACATCTGTTGTGAACTGTTAGGTGGAAAGAATAAAAATTTAAAACACCATAATTCCTGAATTTAAATATCCTTCTGGATGGAAATTCATTGGGTAGAGTTCAATTTACAAGTGAATGAAAAAGACTTATCTACTGTGAGCATAAGGAGAGGGTATCAATTCCAGATGGCCACCTTGTGCTCCTCCAGATGATGTTGGCTGCCACTTCCATAATCCATAGCCAGTGGTATGGGATGATGGCAGTAGTCTGGTGACATCTGAAGGGCCATGGCTAGTATAGGTGATCAGACATGTTTGTATGTTAATGATGCAAGAACCTTTCTTATCCAACAGTCCATCTTGAAATACGTGACACTGCTAGGAAGCTGACCAATGCCCACAACTTATTTTAGTTGTAGTTGCAAACCTGAAAACAGGACAGCTTCCTATGGTATTTAATGATCAGTGGATCTTGTAGTAGGAGGCCGTAGCTTATGTTGTGCTAAGTGTCTTCTCTTGCACACATCATCAAGCCATTTATCAATGGAGAAGCGTCTGGCTATGTTATTTTATCTGGACACCTAATACTGTAGAATGATGCCAGTGCTGTGTGTCTAGCTGTAGGAACATAGCTGCGCACTTCTGTGCATTTGTAACATACAGTTCTACTAGACAATATTTTTGTATGTCTTCCAGGTCTAGGATGTGTTAACCATTAAAGATACAGGAGATCCATTCCATATTTAGCATGGCAACCTTAACTACACAGAAGGCACATTCGCCCAAATAAGACCTGACAAAATGCATAACATTACTTGCAGTTTAATATTTGCACTTTCCTGAAATAATAATAAGCAATAAGAACATAATTCAGTGAACAATATAAGCAGGGAATGTGCGATAACAATTAGTGTTTTCCTTTTTTAGAAGTGTGAATACTTATAGCCCATATTAGACTCAAAAGTTGAAAGGGGGTAAACAATAAATGAATATTCACAGGGTATAAGAACATAATTCGAGAGCATTTTTTTCTTTATTTCGTTTTCAAGGTGATGTATTGCCAGGCTTTCCCACACGAAAAAAGAAAGTCCAGTTTGGTGATGAAGGTAAAGAAAACGAGCAGTCCGTGGACAGCCTGGAGAATTTCCCCCTCTCCAAAGAAAAAGGATACAACTTAAAGAAGCGCCTCTATGCTGCTAACCTGCGTGCTCAAGCTCTGTGCGAACTGGAGAAACACTATCAGCTGAAAAGTCACCAGCTCCTAGGGATGCGCTGAAAGCATGTTGATTTCCACATTCTGTATATAGAATTCTCTTGTGTTTTATACGTTGTCCTTTTACGTATCCGCTTTTATGTGTTTATAGTGGAAAGATATGTAGGCTGGATTGAGAAAAGATGCTAAAACATTTCAAACTATGGAAAAGCACGGCTTGGTAAAATATATTTAGATCTCCCTCCTCTGACAGTTTGCATTTTGATGCTGTTTTTCCAACACTGCATGAAGAAACCAGCATGGTTGTAATATTGAACTTTGATGGAGAGTGTAGATTGGGTTTTTTTTAAGTGCTGGGAATTATTTTGTAACAAAGGGCATAACAGTACAAAGAAAGTTACAATGCCCTGTCAAAAGAAAGAAGAGTATTTTTTTATTAAAACTGCTTTCCAAACCTTTTTTTTCTGAAAAAATACAATCATTAATCTCAAGGAGAACAGTCCAGGGAAAATGCTGGAGGCTGTTGGAAGTGTCTGGAAAAAATGAAGAGTTGCCTCATTTATAAAAAACAGATTTGTTTCAAACCAAGCTAAAGTGTACCTAGTGAATGCCTTCTCAACCCTGTTTCTCAATGTAGTTACCAGATGTGAGTATAAATCAAAATTTGGAGATCTTAGAAAACAATTTATAAACTGTTTGCTATTGTTAAAGGGTACATTTTATACATTAAATAAGAAATCAAACAGGAGAAGAGTTTGTTTATTGCTGGGTGGGTAGATGTTTTTGTGTTAACATGTACTCATGAATTTTGGATTTTTTTTATTGTGTCAGAAGCAACTTGAGAAAGTGCAAGTCACTTTTGGTGTGAGAGAATTGACAACTGAAGGGAGATTGCCCAGGGGATGCCTGGACGTTTTACCATCCTGTGTGAGGCTTCTCTCATGTCCCTGCATGTGAAGCTGTAGCTGACAGATGAGAGTTTACCCTGTCTTGCAGATTAGAACCACCGACCTTCAGGTCAGCAGTGCAGCCAGCACAAGTGTTTAACCCACTGTGTCACCACGACTCTTAATTTTGGAAATGATTCTCTGTTCACATGGGGCAACATGCAGGAAAAGATAAGAATAAGTTGGATTGTATGCTTATTTTTAACAGAATAGGATACATATTTGAAGCTATTTTGGCTGTGAGTGACTGCTTTTGGAATCCAAAACTTCAGTTGAAATTGAAAAGAGTTTCACATCCTGCTCTTTGCTTTGCTTAATTCTCCAATGGCCTGAAGATGGTGCACATGCCCTTCCAGTGTTGTGAATTGGCCATTGACATGAGTGTTCATGAATTCAGAATGTGTCTCTTAGTCCCAAATATATTTGCAGTACTTCAAAATCCATCCCATCTGCTTCTACAAAATCTGTTAATCAACTTGACCTAGCAGCTCAGCTTTAAGCGATTGCTGTATACCATCTTATTTCATAAAATCATTTCATAATAGACACTACCTGACTTTTCTGCAAAATCAATATTAGAGAGACTTCTGTATTAAAATGGGGTATAATGGGGTATAATTATACCCAAGGGGTATAATGGAGCCCCTTGGTGGCACAGTGGGTTAAACCGCTGAGCTGCTGAACTTGCTGACCGAAAGGTCACGGGTTCGAATCCAGGGAGTGGCGTGAGCTCCCACTGTTACCCCCAGTTTCTATCAACCTAGCAGTTTGAAAACATGCAAATGTGAGTAGATCAATAGGTACCGCTCTGGTAGGAAAGTAATAGTGCTCCATGCAGTCATGCCGGCCACATGACCTTGGAAGTGTCTATGGACAATGCCGGCTCTTCAGCTTAGAAATTGAGATGAGCACCAACCTCCAGAGTTGGATACGACTGGACTTAATGTCAGGGGAAAACCTTTACCTTTGCCTATAACCTATAACAACAGTGGGTGGAAAAGACATGGTTAAGAATAAGAAATCAAAAACATTTATAACAACCAATTAACTCTTAAGTCTGGCAAAAGTTGGTCAACATTTTCCAGTTTTGTTGTGGATTATGTAATTTCAATGTGAGCATTAAAATGTGCTTACTATTCACATTGAAAAGCTGGGATTTGTTTTTTATGTCTTGTCCTTTGTCCCAGGAATATGAAATACATAATTTATAATAACCATCCAACTAAAAAAAAAGCAACACAGAACAAAATCTGAAGCATAAAGTCACAGGTCTGGATTACATCCTCAAAGTTTGCTAACAAATATATTTTAGCTGTGTAAAACTAAGCAGCCGGGAGGCCAACAGCACTCCCTGGGGAGAGGATTTAGGCTTTGCTCTCTTTGAAGTGGGAAAGGCAGTATTTCAGATTTGCAGGGTTAGGGGTTTCTAAAAACCTTCTCTAACAGAAGCAGAAATCAGAGAATTCACGAATGTGCTTGGGGTTTGTAAAAAACTTTAAAATATATTATATCTCAGGATTAAAATAGCCACTTTCAGTGAGAACTATGCTTGAGAACCCCTGATTTTTGTTTGCATGTAGAATCATAGAATCAAAGAGTTGCTCATGACCCAAAGCATTCATGGTCACAGAGCAAGCAAGATTGCTTTTCATAGAATCATAGAATCAAAGAGTTGGAAGAGACCTCATGGGCCATCCAGTCCAACCCCCTGCCAAGAAGCAGGAATATTGCATTCACATCACCCCTGACAAATGGCCATCCAGCCTCTGCTTAAAAGCTTCCAAAGAAGGAGCCTCCACCACACTCCGGGGCAGAGAGTTCCACTGCTGAACGGCTCTCACAGTCAGGAAGTTCTTCCTCATGTTCAGATGGAATCTCCTTTCTTGTAGTTTGAAGCCATTGTTCCGCATCCTAGTCTCCAAGGAAGCAGAAAACAAGCTTGCTCCCTCCTCCCTGTGGCTTCCTCTCACATATTTATACATGGCTATCATATCTCCTCTCAGCCTTCTCTTCTTCAGGCTAAACATGCCCAGTTCCCTAAGCCGCTCCTCATAGGGCTTGTTCTCCAGACCCTTGATCATTTTAGTCGCCCTCCTCTGGACATATTCCAGCTTGTCAATATCTCTCTTGAGTTGTGGTGCCCAGAATTGGACACAATATTCCAGATGTGGTCTAGCCAAAGCAGAATAGAGGGGTAGCATTCCTTAGATCTAGACACTATGCTCCTATTGATGCAGGCCAAAATCCCATTGGCTTTTTTTGCCGCCACATCACATTGTTGGCTCATGTTTAACTTGTTGTCCACGAGGACTCCAAGATCTTTTTCACACTGGCTATCAAGCCAGGCATTTCCCATTCTGTATCTTTGCATTTTATTTTTTTCTGCCTAAGTGGAATATTTTGCATTTGTCCATGTTAGACTTCATTTTGTTAGTTTTGGCCCATCTCTCTAATCTGTCAAGATCGTTTTGAATTCTGCTCCTGTCCTCTGGACTATTGGCTATCCCTCCCAATGTGGTGTCGTCTGCAAACTTGATGATCATGCCTTCTAGCCCTTCATCTAAGTCATTAATAAAGATGTTGAACAGGACCGGGCCCAGGACGGAACCCTGCGGCACTCCACTTGTCACTTCTTTCCAAGATGAAGAGGAAGCATTAGTGAGCACTCTCTGTGTTCGTCCACTTAACCAATTACAGATCCACCTCACCGTAGTTTTGCCTAGCCCACATTGGACTATTTTCCTTGCCAGAAGGTCATGGGGGACCTTGTCGAAGGCCTTACTGAAATCCAGGTACGCTACATCCACGGCATTCCCCGCATCTACCCAGCTTGTAACTCTATCGAAAAAAGAGATCAGATTAGTCTGGCATGACTTGTTTTTGATAAATCCATGTTGACTATTAGCAATGACTGCATTTGTTTCTAAGTGTTTGCAGACCGCTTCCTTAACAATCTTTTCCAGAATCTTGCCCGGTATCGACGTGAGGCTGACCGGACGGTAGTTGTTTGGGTCATCCTTTTTTCCCTTCTTGAAGATTGGGACCACATTGGCCCTCCTCCAATCTGCTGGAACTTCTCCCGTTCTCCAAGAACTCTCAAAGATGGTTGCCAATGGTTCTGAAATGACTTCCGCTAGTTCCTTCAATACTCTTGGGTGTAGTTGATCTGGCCCTGGGGACTTGAACTCATTTAGAGCGGCCAGGTATTCCTGGACGACTTGTTTCCCAATTTGGGGTTGGATGTCCTCTAATCCCTCATCCACTCCATCTTGCTGAGGTTGAAGATGACTTTCTTTTTGTGAGAAGACCGAGGCAAAGAAGGCATTAAGTAGTTCTGCCTTTTCCCTATCCCCTGTCAGCATTGCCCCATCTTCTCCTCGAAGAGGCCCTATCGCCTCCTTGTTTTTCCTTTTTCTACTGACATAAGAATAGAAGCCCTTTTTATTGTTTTTAATGTCCCTGGCAAGTCTGAGCTCGTTTTTTGCTTTGGCTTTGCGGACCTTTTCCCTACAGGTGTTGGCTATTTGTTTGAATTCTTCTTTGGTGATTCCTCCCTTTTTCCACTTCTTGTGCATGTCTCTTTTGTGTCTTAGCACAGTTAGAAGTTCTTTGGACATCCATTCTGGCTTCTTTGCACTTGTCCTATTTTTTCTCTTTGTTGGCACGGTTTGCAATTGCGCCTTGAGTATTTCACTCTTGAGAAATTCCCATCCATCCGTAACTCCCTTGTCTTTTAGTATCTGTGTCCACTGAATGCTGCTCAGTGTTTCCTTCATTTTTTGGAAATCAGCTCTCCTAAAGTCCAAAATGCGGGTTTGACTTGTCTTAGTTTCGGCCTTCCTTTGTACCTCAAATTGCAGGAGCACATGGTCACTTGCCCCTAAGGATCCTACCACTTCGACCGCATCGATCAAGTCCTCCGCATTTGTTAGGATGAGATCAAGAGTAGCCAATCCCCTTGTTGCCTCTTCTACCTTCAGGACCATGAAATTGTCTGCAAGGCAAGCGAGGAATTTGTTGGACCTTGTACTCTTGGCCGAGTTTGTTTTCCAGCAAATATCGGGATAGTTGAAATCGCCCATGACTACTACATCTCTTCTCTGTGCCTGTTTGGTCAACTGTTGGCAGAAGACTTCATCAAGTTCTTCCTCCTGGCTTGGGGGTCTGTAGTAGACTCCTACAACGACATCTTTTTGAGTCCCAGTTCCCTTGATTCTTATCCAGATGATTTCAAGCTGGTTTCCCAGATTGCTGTCTTGAATCTCTTCTGCAGCATGACTTTTCACCTGCAGGGATTAGCGTACCTGTTTCTAAACTGGCAAAAGTCACTGGCAAATTAATTCTTGGAATAGGAGAGGTGATGGCTAAATGTTCCAATTGGCTATTTTTCCATATAAACGACAGTGCTTTTTGTTCCATCTCAACTCTAATTCAGGAGATGACAATGAGTAAGAGTGATCTATAGCTGTCTCATCAGATGTCCCACTGAATTAAATTAGTCTTATGCTCAACTAAAAGGTCATATGATTGCAAGATGACTATGACCTATTTTGGAGCCAAAGCCCTGAGTTATTTTAGACAGAAATGGGTTGCCTATCCAGTTCCACCATTTTCAGAGGATGGGACTTACACCCTGATGCTATGTATATGCTCATGTAGAAGAAACTCCCAATGTGTACTCTTTCCAAGTCAGCAAACATAGTATACCAGCTTTTGTCGTGGTTAGCATTTCTTTGAGTGTGTCCTTGTTGTCTTGTCTCCTTCTGAAACCATCAGAATACTTGTAGGCACCAGCAGGAAAAAG